ACTTGGGAGGCTGAGGCAGGAGAATTGCTTGAACCTGAGAGATGGAGATTTCAGTGAGCCGAGATTGTGCCACTATACTCCAGCCTAGGCAACAGGGTGAGACTCCGTCTTAAAAAATAAATAAACAAATATACACAAATAGACCAATGCAACAGAATAGACACTACAGAAACACTTTACATATATGATTACATGATTTAAACAATGGCACCACAGCAATTTATTGTGAAAAGGATGGTATTTTCAATCAAAGGTATTTGATCTGCTGGATATCCATAAGAAAAAAACGAACTTTGTACCTCTGAGTATACACAAAAATTAATTTGAGATGGATACTAGATCTTAATCTGAAACTAAAGCAATTAAGCCTCTAGGACAAACATAAGGAAAATATCTTCTGACTAGGTTAGACAACATTTCTTAAACAGGATGCAGAAAACACTAATCATGAAGAAAAAGTGGTGGCTGGGCATGGTGGCTGACATCTGTAATTTCAGCACTTTGGGAGGCCAAGGTGGGAGGACTGCTTGAGGCCAGGAGTTCAACACCAGCCTTGGCAACATAGAGAGACCCTGTCTCTACAGAAAATTTAAAAATTAGCCGGGCGTGGTAGTGCACACCTGTAGTCCAAACAGGAGGCTGAGGCGGGAGGATTGCTTGAGCCCAGGAGTTCAAGGTTACAGTGAACTGTGATCATGCGACTGCACTCTAGCATGGGCAAAAGAGTTAAACCCTGTCAAAGAAAGAAAAAAAAAGAAAGAAAAGAAGGAAAGAAAGAGAAAAAGTCGCAAACTGGCCTTTATTAAAATTAAAGACTTCTTTTCATTAAGAACTTCTTAGAGGAATGAGGCAAGCCTGGGAGAAGATATTCAACACATATAGTATTTAACAAAGGACTTGCACTGAGGATATATGAACTCCTCCAGAGAATACTTATAACGTAATCGTACAGGTAATGGATCTTGGCGGTTTGAAGATGGAGAGGAGAGGTAAAGAAAAGGATAGGGATACTTATGTTCTCATCATATATAATGTGGAGTCAAGAGAGCCTATGTCAGCCTGATGGAACAAGATAACTAAGACTTAAATATTCTTTAAACCAATAAGGTAATAAAATAGAGGAATTTAAAAAATAACATTATGATATTGGGAGGGGAGATAAGCAGGGCTGTGGAGGGTAAGTAACCTAAGTTCTCAATTATCTTTGCAGAAAGCCAATGGATTACTTCCAAAGTTAATAAAAGATAATTGTACATGCACATTATTTAGAAGCATGGAAGTAACTACTAGAAGATCTACAATAAAAATAGTTAAAAATGGGCCAGGTGCGGTGGCTCATGCCTGTAATCCCAGCACTTTGGGAGGCTGAGGTGGGTGGATCACGAGGTCAGGAGTTCAAGACCAGCCTGGTCAAGATGGTGAAACCTCATCTCTATTAAAAATACAAAAAATTAGCTGGGCGTGGTAGTGGGCACCTGTAATCCCAGGTAGTCAGGAAGCTGAGGCAGAGAACTGATTGAACCCGGTAGGCGGAGGCTGCAGTGAGCCAAGATGGAGCCACTGCACTCCAGCCTGGGCAGCACAGCAAGACTCCATCTCAAAAAAAAAAAAAAGTTAAAAATGGTTGCTTTTGGGGTACGAGGGTGAAAGAAAGTAGAATGGGGTGAAATATTTATTTTTCATCATAAATTCTTCTATATTACTTATTAAAGAAGTACATGTTAGATTAAAATATTTAATTTTTTAAAATTCCTACATTTACATTACTATAACTATGCAAATAATTCACTTCTACGGCCAAGCAATGTGCTAAAACTATGCATCCTTTTTTAGAAGTCACCCACTTGACTCTATCTAGAATCAAGATGCTGTGTCTAGAATCAAAAGCAAATGTATTCTCCTCACATCTTAGAACAATTTTAATCTGTCATATCTGAACCATGACTTTCACGGTTAGCTCTTTTTCAGAGTTTCTAATCTCTTTTTTCTAAATCCAGACTCTGTCATACTTTCTATTGCATGGGGTACCATTTTCCTCCCGGATATAACCCTCTTAGAGGCATTCAATATCCTGATCTAACTTAAATTTATTACTATTTTTATTTTCTTTAGGTTCTATCTCTTTTTTCCTTCTTTCTGTTTTGATATTATTGGTTTTCCTTAAAAGTGAACCTTGGTTGTCCATTAATACTTAAGAATGAAAGTCTGTGTCAATTTTTCTAGGCGCTAGTACGAGTATCTTTTGTTAGTATTCTGTCTCCCCAGTGTTCTCACTCAGGAGTGGGAAAATTGGGGGCTTCATGATATGAGTGGAATAAGCAATTAGCAGGCTTTCTTTAATGGGTAGCCAGCTATTAAGCAGGGTGTCTCTCAAATACCAAAATTAACAGGCAACAGGGCATAATTAAGAGGGTTTCACTGTGGAATGCCAAATCCATGCTAGAACTAGCTTTTCCAGATAGTTCATTTGATTTTTCATTTTTCTTTTTTTTTTTTAAAAAAGAGATAAGCCTCCAGGGTTTCTTTGTGTCTTTTTTGCCTAATAGTATATATCTGTCTAGAAGCAGATTTGTGACAAGCAGTAAACATCCACCTACCTGCAGCTCTTGGTCTGCAAAAGACTGGAGACAACTGGCACAGCTGCTCCATGTACAGACCTTCAATTAAACCCCCTGTCTTCAGTCCTCCTTCCAGCTCTTTTAAATTGTTAACTCCAAATTCATATCTTCTCTGGGGTTCCAATGGCAAACCAATTCCCTCATTGGAACCCCTATGAAATGTGTCTAGGCAAGTGTTTCTACAGTTTTTCCAAAGGATGCTATCATCTATTTTTAGTTTTCCAAAAATTAGATAAAATTTTTATGTGCTCATGAACCCCCTCTCTTTGTTATGGATTAACCTTCTATACAGTGTCATTTCAATGGGGTTCTGGAGGGACACAAGGTGAAATGTGTCCTCAGTCTATACACACACATACACACACACACACACACACACACCTATTTACATGGCTTCTCTGCCGAAGCTCCTTTAAGGGCCAGGATGTATTGTAAAATGCCTAGCACAATGTCAGGAACACAACAGTTAGTCAAAGGTGTGTGGCTGGTTGAATGTGAGAGAAAATAGCTGCAAACAATAGAAAAGCTTAAGCCTAGATGATGTATATGTCAATCAAAACCAACTAAGGAAGAATAAGTTTTAAAAGAAGATTAGCTGGGTATAATGGTGCTCGGCTATAGGGCAAGTTACTTGGGAAGCTGAGGTGGAAGGATCACTTGAGCCCGGGAGTTTGAGACCATCCTGGGCAACGTAGTGAGATTCCTGTATCTTTAAAAAATACATATTATTTTAGTGTTAGAAATCAACATAGTTACACCCCAGCATAGGTTTTATGGCCTTGGTATAGGCAAATAATGAAGCAACTTTACAAAATGTGATTAACTGATACAAAGGTGGTCTTGTAAGCCATAAAACCTTTGTATCAGTGTGTGTTAGAAACAGAGCCATATTTCTTCAGTTAAAATTACCAGGCATAGGCCAGGCGCGGTGGCTCAAGCCTGTAATCCCAGCACTTTAGGAGGCCGAGATGGGCGGATCACGAGGTCAGGAGATCGAGACCATCCTGGCTAACACAGTGAAACCCCATCTCTACTAAAAAAATACAAAAAACTAGCTGGGCGAGGTGGCGGGCGCCTGCAGTCCCAGCTACTCGGGAGGTTGAGGCAGGAGAATGGCGTGAACCCGTGAGGCGGAGCTTGCAGTGAGCTAAGATCCGGCCACTGCACTCCAGCCTGGGCAACAGAGTCAGACTCCATCTCAAAAAAATAAAATTACCAGGCACAGAGTCCCGCTGCTATCAGAGAGAAAAGAGTGAGGTCATTTTAGTTCTTGGCTCTCACTCAACCAGATAATTCAACTTGGAATATTCCTTACACCTGTAAGACCAGCTCTACCCTTACAAAAGCACAAGTGACCACAACATCAACCCGGATATAGTGTATTATTAACAAACTTTAAGCTCCTCGAGAATAAGTACTCAATAAATATTTAATGAGTGGCTATATTCCTAACATCTGCTCACAATGCTGGTTCCTCAGTCAAGAAATAAAGTGTTTAGAGGTAAAAGGCAAATAATCTTATTAATGATACTTTCATTGATAACCATTATAAAAGTGCCTAGCCCAGATCAGGAACTCAATAAACATTTGTGCAGCTAATGAAATAATTGTAACTTTTTGAAACGTTAAAAAAGTCTGCTTTTTTGTTGTTTTTGTTGCCCAGGCTGAAGTGCAATGGCGTGATCTAGGCTCACCACAACCTCTGCCTCCCAGGTTCAAGCGATTCTCCTGCCTCAGCCTCCCGAGTAGTTGGGATTACAGGCATACGCCACCATGCCCAGCTAATTTTGTATTTTTAGCAGAGACAGGGTCTCTCCATGTTGGTCAGGCTGGTCTCGAACTCCTGACCTCTGATGATCCACCCGCCTCAGCCTCTCAAAGTGCTGGGATTATAGGTGTGAGCCACCGCGCCCAGTCAAAAAGTCTGCTTTTTAAAGTGAAGAGTGGCACACAATTCTGCAAGTATTCTAAAAGCTACTGAATTGTACACTTTATATAAAAAGTATTGAATATTGAACTGGCCGGGTGTAGTGGCTCATGCCTGTAATCCCAGCACTTTGGGAGGCCGAGAATGGTGGTTCACCTGAAGTCAGGAGTTCAGGACCAGCCTGGCCAACATGGTGAAACCCCGTCTCTACTAAATATACAAAAATTAGCCGGGCATGGTGGTGCGCCTATAATCCCAGCTACTGGGGAGGCTGAGGTGGGAGAATTGCTTGAACCTGGGAGGCAGAAGCTGCAGTGAGCCGAGATCATGCCACCGCACTCCAGCCTAGGCAACAGAGTGAGATTCTGTCTCAAAAAAAAAAAAGTATCGAACTGTACACTTTGAATTTCATGACATAAAAATTATATCTCAATAAAACTTCTAAATAAACTCACAAGGAAACTTTTCCAGGCCTGCTGAATGACTCTGGCAGCTTTATCCTGCTTTAAAACTTCTAATTCCTCTTCCCAAGGCATTTGAAATTCCTAAAAGAAAAGGAGCAAAAAGGGTACATTTAAAATAATGTTAATTTATTTTCATTTTAATTTATTTTTTTAAGAGACATTTTTATTTATTTATCTATTTTAGATTCTTGTTTTGTCACCTAGGCTGGAGTGCAGTGCTGCGACAATAGCTCACTGCAGCCTCAAACTGGTGGGCTCAAGTGATCCTCTCACCTTAACTTCCTAAGTAGCTGGGACTGTAGGTGTGCACCACCACACCTGGCTTTCTTTTTTAAATTATTATGTTTTTGTAGAGATGGGGTCTTGCTATGTTGCCCAGGCTGGTGTCAAACACCTCCTGGCTTGGCCTCCCAAAGTGTTGCGATTGTAATTGTGAGCCACCGTGCCCAGCCTAAAATTATTTTATATGCTCCATTATAAAACTACCACTAGAACTCAATGAAAATTAAAGAGTTGTACAAATAAAACAATTAAGATTTCGTATCAAAATAATAAAAATAAAAATAGTCACCTTTTTATTTTTTAAGAGACAGAGTCTTTCTCTATTGCCTCGGCTAGAATGCCATGGCAGGATCATAGGTCACTGTAGCCTTGATCTCTTAGGCTCCATCGCTCCTCCTGCCTCACTGTCCTGAGTAGCTGGGACTACAGGCACATACTACAATGTCTAGCTAATTTTTAAAATTTTTTGTAGAGACAGGTTCTTGCTATGTTTCCCAGGCTGGTCTTGAATTCTTGTACTCAAGTGATCCTCCCACCTCTGCCTCTGAAAGTGCTTGGATTACAGGCATGAGCCACTGCGCCCAGCCAAAAGTGGTCAGCAATTATTGGTGATTTCATATGTTCTAATTTGTATATTTTTTCTAATTCCAGCAATAATCCTGCATAGCAGATTTCACTAATATGCTTGTGTTAGAGATGAGGAGCCTAAGCTTTAAGGCCTAAGGTCAAATAGTGAATAACTAAGCCAGTTACTGAATTCAAGTTTATCTTCAAAGTCCATGACTTTTACATGCACTGTTGTATGACTTCAAATAAACCTTTCTTAACGTGCATAGAGACAGAGTTGCATCCACAAAATTGTACAGGTCCCTAACCTAAAATTAGACCTTATATGGTCAAATATAAAAGGAAAAAAAAGGTTATGCACTGAATACAGGGAGAAACATGGATTTTTACTTAGAGTTATTACACTTCACAGAATAATGTCACTCGTTACATTTACAGTAGCAATATAGTTCTGAGATGCTTTATCATAGTCCAAAGTGAATAAATTTTGCTTAAAAGCTTAAAATTCTGGGCTGAATACAGTGACTCATGCCTGTAATTCCATGGTTTTAGGAGACCAAGGCAGGAGGATTGCTTGAGGCTAGGAGTTTAACACCAGCCTGGGCAATATAGCAAGACCCCTGTCTCTACAACAACAACAAAAAGCTGGATAGGGTGGCACATACTGTAGTCCTAGCTACTTGGGAGGCTGAAACAGGAGGATGGCTTGAGCCCAGGAGTTCAAAGCTGCAGTGAGCTATGACTGCACCACTGCACTCCAGCCTGAGCCACAAAATGAGAACATGTCTCTAAAAATAATAAAAATTTAAATTCTGAATTGGTGCATGTAAAATGCAAAACATGTAAGGATTTACAAATTCCAAAGCCCTGACCTATTTAAACACATAACATACATCTACCAGTATGTTTAGAAAGACAGAGGCTAAACAGAAAACTGTCAAAAAGGATATGCCATTCATAAGAAAAATGAAAGAAAAATGTATTTATATATTTCTCAATTTGTCATTTTTCCCTTTTGATGTTTAAAGTTATTCAGATGCTTAAAACTAACGGTGTTTTCTTCCTAATTTGGTAAATTGTTTTTTAAATTGACATTTTTAAGAGTCAGAAGAAGGTTCTCTATGAAAAAAACTTATGTCTTTTTTGCTTTCCCTACAAATAGCGTTAACAATATAGGAGGCATGGGAAGAGAGGTTAAGTCTTTGGGCTCTGAGGCAAGATAGACCAGGGTTTAAATCTTAACAAATTCTACCTCATCCTTAGCTGTGTGATTTTGCAAAAGTTCCTTAACTCACTCAAACTTCAAGTTACTCATCTGTAAAATATGGGGACTCATTGTACCTAACTCATAGAATGGTCAGGATTAAGTCAGGTAACACAGGTAAAGCATTTAGTATAGTTTCTGACCCATCACAATAAATCATATCTATTATTATAACAAACTTTTCCAGAATAAAAACTATTCATGTGCATTATTTCAGTTAGAAAACTGAGATAGTATTTTAAGTACAATTATTCTCTTAATTGACAAATAACTGTTGGCATAAATGAAATTAAGGAAATTTCATGCCTAAAAGATTTGTTAATTTTTTTTTTTTTTTTTTTTTTTGAGACAGAGTCTTGCTCTGTCACACAGGCTGGAGTGCAGAGACATCATCTCAGCTCACTGTAACCTCCACCTCCCGGGTTCAAGTGATTCTCATGTCTTAGCCTCCTGAGTAGCTGGGATTATAGGTGTGTGCCACCATGCCCAGCTAATGTTTGTATGTTTAGTAGAGACAAGAGTTTCACCCTGTTGGCCAGGCTGGTCTCAAAATGCTGGCCTCAGGCAATCCACCCGCCTTGGCCTCCCAAAGTGCTGGGATTACAGGCATAAGCCATTGCACTCAGCAGCAACAATTTTTGTAGGATAGTTTTTACAAGTGGAATTGCTATGACAAAAGGTAGGCACATATATATTTCTGTTTTTCGTTTGTTTGTTTTCTGAGACGGAGTCTCGCTCTGTTGCCAGGCTGGAATGCAGTGGTGCGATTTTGGCTCCCTGCAACCTCCGCCTCCCGGGTTCACGTGATTCTCCTGCCTTAGCCTCTGGAGTACCTGGCACTACAGGTGTGCGCCACCATGCCCAGTTAATTTTTGTATTTTAAGTAGAGATGGGGTTTCACCATGTTGGCTAGAATGGTCTCGATCTCTTGACCTCATGATCCACCCACCTCAGCCTCCTAAAGTGCTGGGATTACAGGCGTGAGCCACTGCGCCTGGCACACATATACATTTGAATTGACTGTCTCTGGAAGGGGATATGAGAAATTACTAAGAATGACTGTCTCTAGGAAGGGACTTGTGGACTGAGGAGCCTGGGTTCAGAAAGGGAAGAGATGTTTTTGTTCCGGTATACTCTTTTACACTGTTGTTTTTTTCCCACAATGTGCATTTAGTTCAGAGATACACAATATAACTTCATAAAAAATAAAACAGTATACATATTAACACCTAACACTGCCAAACTGTCCTCAAAAATGGTGTCCAATTTATACCCATAAACATTCCATGGGAACGCTTGACTCTAAATTTAGAAAAGTAAAAAACTAAACGTAAATTAGATATTAGGATGATAACAGGTCTTTTAATATTCTTTCCAAGAACTAAATTGTATGATTTTTACCTGTCATCAATGTAGTGTGTTATTTAACATGATAGCATTAGCATTAATCCATCACAATTTTGTCATTTTCCCAATTACATTCTCAATTTTGTAGGTGAAAATTTAACACTGGATCTTAAAAATTCTGACCCAGTTTATTGAACACTTTGATCTAAATAATTTCACACAGGCTTTCCGCATACACCTGCTTCCTGCTTCTCTAGTGACATAGGCTAAAAGGTGTTTAGAGGCTGCCAAAAAACTATGTCATAAATGCCACCATTATATGTTTATGAATACACAAACTATTGAGAAAATATATTCCAGCATTCAAAATTATGATTCAGAAATTAACAATGAAGTTCCACAATTTCCAGAAAGAACATATTCAATTGTGTCAAATATTGTTGCAAGGACAAGTAAATACAGAGGAAAGAAAGGGAGATTTGGCCAGATAGTCACTAGTGACAGTACAGGCACTGTTTCAGTGGAGTAAGCAGGGAATGAAGTTTGGGATGGGTTGAGGAAGTGGGAAAGTTGAGACAGTAAGTACAGTAGTAATTCTTTGGGGTGCTGTAAGGGAGCAGAAAAATGGGGTGTAGCTAGAGAGTGAGAATGGATTAAAGGTTTTTTTTAAAAAAAAGAAAAATAAAAAGGCCGGGCACGGTGACTCACGCCTGTAATCCCAGCACTTTGGGAGGCCGAGGCAGGTGGATCATCTGAGGTCGGGAGTTTGAGACCAGCCTGACCAACATGGAGAAACCCCATCTCTACTAAAAATACAAAATTAGCTGGGCATGGTGGCACATGCCTGTAATCCCAGCTACTCAGGAAGGCTTAGGCAGGAGAATCGCTTGAACCTGGGAGGCGGAGGTTGTGGTGAGTCGAGATCATGCCACTCTTCCAGCCTGGGCAACAAGAGTGAAACTCGCTCTAAAAACAAACAAAAAAACAAAAACAAAAAAAAACAAAAAAACCCACGAGAGATTCTAAAGCATGTTAAAATGTACCATCCAGTATTTAGGGAGAAATTAAAGTGACGGAGAACTTAAAAGGGCAAAGAAAGGGATAAGTTAAAGGGTAAAACCTTTCAGTAGGTGTAAGAGGACACCATCTGGAGCAGAAAGGAGGGTGGGACCGTTGCTGGCTTTAGATAAGAAATAAGATTGACTTTATATGGCTATTATGATGCTCCAAATAAATTAACCATTGTGAAAACCCTTCATCAGTTTCAAGACACTAAAATGTACTACCAGGCTGGGTCTGGTGGCTCACGCCTGTAATCCTAACACTTTGGGAGGCCGAGGTGGGCGGATCACCTGAAGTAAGGGGTTCGACACCAGCCTGGCCAATATGGTGAAACCCTGTCTCCACTAAAAATACAAAAATTAGCCGGGTGTGGTGGCGCACGCCTGTAGTCACAGCTACTTGGGAGGCTGAGGCAGGAGAATAGCTTGAACCGGGAGGCAGAGGTTGCAGTGAACTGAGATTGTGCCACTGCACTCAGCCTGGGCAACAAAGCGGCATGCCTTCTCAAAAACAGAGACAACAAAAAAAACCTAACCAAATAAAATGTACTATCAAACAACTGCTCAGGCAATGAAGTATTTTACTACACCCATGTACCACTTGTAGATTCAGAGATAAAGATCTTCCAAGCTTATTATATCCCTAATCAATACAAATTTTTATCTTAATAGATGTTTTCACCTATTTATTTTTACGCTTCACGGATAAAAGCCCACAAGATGTGTTTGGATTCTTAGTTTCACTTTTAAAGCAGCAAACAATCTTCACTTTGCTTGGATTCGAACCTGTATACTTCCTATTTTGTTTCCTCTACTAAATTTATTGAATACACAAATGATTCTCGTGGCCTTTATAAGTTTCGTAATTTCGCTTTTCCTTTTCACATGTGGTCCTTGATAGCGGGGGCAGAAGAAAAACAACTAACTTCTTTAAAAACGCGTTTCCCTTTTCCATCTCTAAAAAAAATGAAAAGATGTAAAACCAATGGGAGGGGGGAAGGGAAATAAATGAGGAAAAATCTAAGGAAGATTAATGTGTACTTCCCGGTCAGCGGGAAGGTGGATGGAGCAGTATCTTTGCGGAGGATTGGGGTGTGGGGGGTCTGTGAACGCGCAGAATGAGCGGTAAGGGCTGGTCAACCAGCCCGACGCAACGTCACCGAGGGCGAGGAAAGGAAGCTCTGAGGAAGGGGTTACTCCCAGGCAGGACTGTAAACTAGCTGAAGACCTCGCTGAGAGGCTTTAGAAGCATGAAACATCCTTAAGGGAGGCGGATGGGGAACGGATATCAAGGGTGTGGATTCTTTAGGGCCTTGAAACAACGAAGGCTCAAAACAAAGGCCACAAAGGCTAGCGGAATAGTAGTACAGGCTGAGAGGGAAGGGACAATTTTCCCTTGACCTACCAATCGCTGCTGGCCCTGGAGTCGCCGGACTCCTAGGTAACGTCGCAGACGGAAATGACGTAACTCAATCCGTTCTATCCCGCCCCATTGCCCTCCTAGCCCCGCCTTCTAGGCCCCGCCACTCCTCCCCGGCCTTTCCTCTACTCGCTCTCTGACCAAGTCCGGGGGATCTAGACCAAAAGCCTATGAAGACTGCTGGTTCTGTTAGAAGCCTGCTTTCGATTGTCAATGGCTTTGAGGCAAAGGATTTTGCAAGGGAAAGCAAAGTGATTGTCTACGAAGTTGGGCTTGGTATATAATGAAGCCCAGTCATTTCAACCAAGAACCTTAAAGATGTTGAGAAATATAATGAAATATTTTCTATTTAATTAATTTTTGTAAAATTTTTTTCGAGATAGAGTCTCAATCTGTGGCCGAGGCTGGAGTGCAGTGGTGCGATCTCGGCTCACTGCAGCCTGGAACTCCTTGGGCTCAGGTGATTCTCCCACGTCAGCCTCCCGAGTAGCTGGGACCACAGGAGTGCACCACCACGCCAGGCTCATTTTTCTATTTTTATTAATAGTGGCGACAGGGTTTCTCCATTTTGCCCAGGCTGGTCTTGAACTCCTGAGCTCAAGCGATCCTCCCAACCCCACCTCCCGCCTTGGCCTCCCAAAGTGCTGGGATTGCAGGTGTGAACCACCGCGCCCGGCCTATTTAATTAGCCTATTTATAAAAGGTCTTGCTCAAGGTCAAAGAATACGTGACTTGCAGTCCAGTGTTATTTCTAAATGTAAGCTCTTCAGCTGGTGAAGCTAAACTGGTTTTAAGTGAAAACAGACGACCTCTTGAATGAGTTTTCAAATGACCTTAAATAATGCAAGCACTGCTTATCTAAAGCAAGTCTGACTTGCTTGAATTCTGATTCTGACACTCCGGCAGTGCTTTAGTTGGTCACAGATTATTGCGATGTGAAAAAAATCTTGTTCAGAACTGCCCAGTTTTGCTACGTTCCTCCTATGTTCAGGCATGGAATATAATTAGTTTGTAAGGAAGATAAACATTTTTGTTGTTGTTGTTGTTTTTTGAGACGGAGTCTCGCTGTCTCCCAGGCTGGAGTGCAGTGGCGCCATCTCGGCTCACTGCAAGCTCCGCCTCCCGGGTGTACGCCATTCTTCTCCTGCCTCAGCCTCCCGAGTAGCTGGGACTACAGGTGCCCGCCGGCACGCCGGGCTAATTTTTTGTATTTTTAGTAGAGACGGGGTTTCACTGTGTTAGCCAGGATGGTCTCGATCTCCTGACCTCGTGATCCACCCCCCTCGGCCTCCCAAAGTACTGGGATTACAGGCGTGAGCCACCGCGCCTGGCCAAGGAAGATAAACTTTTAAGGGGAGAAAAGAAACACCTGAAGAGAAATTTCCCTGTATTATGAAAACATTTGTACAGAAAAAATTCTTGGTAAGTTAATTCAGTGACTCACTGAGCTTCCAGAGTTCTTTAAAATAATCACAATCATAAGCAAGGGGTGAGCTTCAGTTCCCCTTCATGTAGTTACCTTGATGCACTAATACACAGTAGTTATGAACAATAAACTGTAAAAATATAGTCATGGAAACATTATGTATATCTTAATTTTCAATCTAATAGAAACTGGGTTAAAAATTTTAAATTCAGGCCAGGTGCGGTGGCTTACACCTGTAATCCCAGCACTTTGGGAGGCTGAGGTGGGCGAATCACTTGAGGTCCGGAGTTCGAGACTAGCCTGGACAACATGGTGAAACCCCCTCTCTACTAAAAATACAAAAATTAGCCAGGCATGCTGGCGCGCCGCCTGTAGTCCCAGCTACTCAGGAAGCTGAGGCAAGAGAATCGATAGAACCCGGGAGGCGGAGGTTGCAATGAGCGGAGATGGCGCCATTGCACTTCAGCCTGGGCAAGAGCAAGATTCCCTCTTAAAAAAAAAAGAAAATTAAATTCAAAATTACACAACAATGTGAATATACTTAAGGCCACTGAGTTGTACAATTAAAAGTAGTTAGAATGATAAATTTATATTTTACCACAATTTAAAAATTTTCAATTAAAAAACTACAAAACTAAGCCAGTAAATAATTTAAAACAAAAATTCCTAAATGTACAGGATGAAATATAAAAATAAATTTAAGGTATACTGCTGTTTATATATTATTTTTATTAGGTGGGTGCAAAAGTAATTGTGATTTTTGCCATTAAACATACATAATTAAACATAATTGCGAAAATTGTGATTACTTTGGCATCAACCTAATAAACTCTACATATTTTTAATGTAGTGCTTATCTGAATTATTTTAAAAAGTGTTTACAATAGTTACTATCGAATACTTACGTTACCTCTAACCTAATCCAGAAGAATTCAGCAATTTCTACGTAATAGGGTCGAACATTTTCTTATTGCTCTAATACATGTAAAAATTGTTCAGTTCTCTAAAAGTATCTTTCTTTAAAGTAGCCACAAGGGATCATTAAGACTAGAAACTTTCAAATGTAAGGTTTATTCATTTATATGTACCTGCTTAAATCTAGGAACAGTTTACTAAGAAGCCAAAGTCAGAAGAACTTCTGGGTGGTTTCACAGAAATCGTTCCTTCCTTCCTTCTCTCCTCCGCGCTCCACTCATTCTCTTCCTCTTCTTTTTCTCTCTTTGTCTTACTACTATTATACAATATATCATATTTATGAAATTCATATTCTTGCTTTCCACTTACAGGGCAAAGATTTTTCTTTATAAACCATGCGAAGACAAGAGATAAAGAAACAAAAATGAACTGGCATGAGGAAAGGGGAAATATTTGTAGTGCCCAGGGAGAAGAGTCACAATTATATGCCATTTCTTTCCTGTCTGCTTTGGCACTGGAACAAACTCCAACAACAGGGGACTCCAAGGCTGTCCCCTGGGTGTGAGAATGGAATCTTTTATAATTGTGGAAAATATGTCATGTAGTAGAAAACCACAATATCACACATGAGGAGTGGGTGTGGGTCAAAGGCACAGGTCCTGCAGTGGTCCTAAAGCAGGCCAGAGGGACCTCCAAACAGGCATCCATCCTTTTGTTGAGGCTTAGCAGTTTGAAGAGGCTAGGGGAAGGGAGTTGGCACCTTTAGCTAATTGTTGGCTGAGAAATCTGTCGTCTTCACTACAATGACTCTTGTTATGCCAGGGGACTGTTTGTCTTCTGTGTACCCTTGTTGTATTTTCTTTTTCTTTCTTTTATTTTTTTGAGATGGCGTCTGGTTCTGTTGCCCAGGCTGAAGTATGGTGGCGGGATCTCGGCTCACTGTACGCTCCGCCTCCCGGGTTTACGCCCTTCGCCTGCCCCAGCCTCCCGAGTAGCAGGGACTACCGGTGTCCTCCATGATGCCTGGCTAATTTTTTGTATTTTTAGCAGAGACGGGGTTTCACTGTGTTAGCCAGTATGGTCTTGATCTCCTGACCTCGTGATCCGCCCGCCTCAGCCTCCCCAAGTGCTGGGATTACAGGCGTGAGCCACCATGCCCTGCCCCTTGTTGTATTTTCGCCATCAACAAAAATAATGGTACTAAGCTTAAATGTTTTTTCTTTTCTTTTTTTTTTTTTTTTTTTTTTGAGACTGTAACCATCCAATGAGTTCTCCTTGCCTGCTGCCTAGACAGAGCCAATTTATCAAGACAGGGGAATTGCAATAGAGAGTTTAATTCTTGCAGAGTTGGCTGTGTGGGAGACCAGAGTTTTATTACTCGAATCAGTTTCCCTGAAATGTCAGGGAGTGTGGTTTTTAAGGATAATTTTCTGGGTAGGGGATCAGAAAGTGGGGAGGTGCTGATTAGTTTGGTTAGAGTTGAAATCAAAGGGAGTCGAAGCTGTCCTCCTATGCTGTCAGTTCCTGGGTTGGGGCCACAAGACCAGATGAGCCAGTTTATTGATCTGAGTGATGCTAGTGGAATCATCGAGTACAGGGTCTGCAAAATATCTCAAGCACTGATTTTAGGTTTTACAATAATGATGTTATCCCCAGGAGCAATTTGAGGAGGTTCAGAAACTGGCAGCCTTCAGATGCATGACTCCTAAATCATAATTTCTATGTTGTAGCTAATTTGTTAGTCCTGCAAAGGCAGTCTAATCCCCAGGCATGAAGGGGGATTCTTTTGGGAAAGTGCTGTTATCATCTTTGTTTCAAAGTTAAACTATAAACTAAGGTCCTCCCAAGGTTAGATTGGCCTATGCCCAGGAGTAAACAAGGACAGCTTGGAGGTTAGAAGCAAGATAGAGTTGGTTAGGTCAGATCTCTTTCACTGCAATGATTTTCTCTTTAAAATTTTTGCAGAGGTGGTTTCAAGACAGGATCTTGCTCTGTTGCCCAGGCTGGAGTGCAGTGGCATGATCATAGCTCACTGTAATCTCAAACTCCTGGGCTCAAGCAGTCATCCCACCCCAGCCTCCCAAGTAGTTGGGACTACAGGTGTTCACCACCGTGTCCAGCTAATTTTTAAATTTTTTCTTTTGTAGAGTTGAAGGTCTCACTGTGTTGCCAGGGCTAGTCTTAAACTCCCAGGTTCAAATGATCCTCCTGCCTCAGCCTCCCAAAGTGCTGAGGTATGAGCCACCGTGACTGGCCTTTTCTTTTTTCTAATGTTATTATAGATTTCTGCCCTCTAGGGACTGAGTGGTGATTTTGGTTCATTTATTCATGAAGAGATAATAGAATCAAAATTAGACCAATGCAGTTATAGAAATACCAGGGCTATAAGTGGTTACAACCTCTTTCTTAAAAAGCAAAAGTATCCTTTTCAAATTTTTATTTAGAAAATTTATTTTATTTAAAAAGTATACATATATGTCCCAAGATAAAAAGTTCTAAACATAGATTTTAAAAGAGCATAATGGAAAAAAATATAAATATTTTCTGTTCCTATTTATATCTTTTGTGCATTTATTGTCTTTTCTAAGGTTGGTATTTTTCTTTATTTTGCAATTTGATCCATACTTAAAGTAAAAAAAATTTAAATATTATAGAAAGGCATAAAGCAAAAAGTAAAAATTCCCTTCACTCCATCTTCTCCTCAGATATTGGTGAATCTCCTCTCAAACTTTCAACCACATAGATACATTTTTGTTTACCAACCAGAAAGCCATTAACACTAACTCTTTAAAGGCTGCAGCTGAGTTGGTGAGATGAAGAATTATGTAGATTAAGGCTGCTGTCTCCCTGTAGAATTTTTTGAGGGATTCCACTTTTTTTTAAAGCACATCCTTCCTGTTCCACTCACTGAAGCTGCCCCGTTTGTCTCATCTTGCTTTTAACTATTAGGCCTGTTTGGCAGAGGCAATATACATTTTTAAAAATTTAAGATGTTTAAAATGCCATTAGCCATTAGCACCTGGAATTCGAGGCAGAACAGCATGAGGCAGGCAGCCTTTCTTGCCATAATCCCAGTTTTGACAAGCCTCAAAAACACTGTGTACAATATTTAAGACACAAATTCATTAGGTATGGTCTCAGGACAGCCTGCTCTTATTTAATACTTGTGCGCTTGTGGTTTTGCACAATGGATGGGTACTAGAGTTTGCCTTGGATACTTGGTGTTGATTAGATTGTTCTGAAATTTGGTTATGCTTAGTCAAAAAATTCTGTTTATTGTTCTTCAGCAAGAATAGATGTAACCACTTTAAAAAGTTACATTGTTTTCCAGATTAAGTAAATATCTCAATTAGGAGAGTACATATTTTTATTTTTAGTTGTAGTTTTTGAGATGGAGTCTCACTGTCACCCAGGCTGGAGTGCAGTGGTGTGATGTCAGCTCACTGCAATCTCCGCCTCCCAGGTTCAAGTGATTCTCCTGCCTCAGCCTCCCGAGTAGCTGGGATTACAGGCAAATGCCACCATGCCCAGCTAATTTTTGTATTTTTAGTAGAGATGGGGTTTCACCATGTTGGCCAGGCTGGTCTCAAACTCCTGACCTCAAAAGATCCGTCCACCTCGGCCTGCCAAAGTGCTGGGATTACAGGCATGAGCCACTGCAACTGGCATATTTTTAAATTGGGATATGAGTACATATTTTTTAATTGGGAATGAGGATAACTCTTGTTTTAGAGCATGTGCTTTAGTGAACTGAACCTTGGACTGATGGTTACAAGGAGTATGTAATGAACTTTCAGGCTGTAAGTCCTAAATCCTGACCCTGTCCTAAAAGAGAGAGGGAATTTCCAAAGTCTATCTTAGCAATGACACCCACTGAAATAGAAAAGTGGTGGAGTGAGGAATGGATGCTTGTTTTTGTTCTTGGCCTGTTATTAGTGAATCCCAAGATAGCAGGCTTCCTGAAGATTGTTGTAGAGGTTTTCAGTGTTTTCAAGGATCCCCTTTTCAGCTTGAAAATAATGAACACCCTTCACCTGACTACAGTTATCTTTTACCTATTCGATATAGAGATAATGAATGATGCCTAAAGCATACATTCATCTATGTTAATAACTCTATTGTCTTTGATGGGTATACAACTCAGATAGATTTGGAATTACTACCTTAAGGCACAATTTCTCCTTAATGTTGTCTCAGGCTTTGGCAAAATTTAGTTTAAAGGATATGAGTAGTGCTTTAAAAAATATTCCCTCCACAGTCTCCATGCCACCTTTAATAACAAAGTCATTCTCTTCTTCCTTAAATATCCTTATCAGACCTTCTAAAAGGAAGCTGTTATTAATGAAAGCGAAAAGCAGCTTGTAAGAGGAGAAATTATGCAGTGACGGGGTGAAAAATCCCTGAACAAATATTTTCTCTTCATAATTGGAAGTGGAAGAGAAAAAGTGAACGGGGATAGAAATAAACCAATAAAATATGTAAACTAATAAATATGTAAACAGTTTTGCAGAGGCTGATTTATATTTTAGCAAGCCTCTCTATTTGCTATGATCCCCAAGTTTTCTTTTCAGAGAAACTATAATGCTGATAATACCAGTTTTTACTCAAAAGATATTAATATCCAATGATATTTGGTAATGCTTGTTCAAATACAGGTCAAACATCCCTCATTCAAAAATCCAAAATCTGAAATACTCCAAAATCCAAAACTTTTTGAGTGCTGACAACACCACATGGGTCGCTAAGATAGTGACACCTTTGCTTTCTGACAGTTCAATGTATACAAACTTTGTTTCATGCACAAATTATTAAAAATATTATATAAAATTCCCTTCAGGGTATGTGAACAAGGTATATATGAAACATAAATGAATTTTGTGTTTAAACTTGGATCTCATCCCCAAGATATCTCATTATGTATATGCAAATATCCCCAAATCTGAAAAAATCTGAAACCTGGAACACTCCTGGTCCTAAGCATTTCAGATAAGGGATACTCAACCAGTACTGCTACATCCATCTATACATACAAAGCCACCAGGAGAACTAGTCCACTTGGTAAAGTCTTCTGTACTGTCCTTCACAGCTTAGATTCGATCTTTCCTTAAAGATGTAGCCAGGATACACAGGAGTGTGAATCTGGGCTGACTCAAAGCTCTTCTCTCGAAGGCTTTTTCCTGTGGCACTGGCAGATGGCTGTGTTATCTTCTGGCTGAGGAACAAGTTCCATTCCATCACGTACTTCGGGTTTGCTGGACTGGCGCTCGGCATATTTCTGAAATGTGGGTTTAAAGGGAACTGAAAGGTTAGTTCACACTTCATTCTGTTGACTCCCCCACCCACTCCCATCCGCAGTCATGCCATCTTTTCTAGTTGCTCTGTGTCTTCAGACTAAAACCAAAGGTCTGGTTTATTCCAGTCCTAAAGCTACATTTTAACTTTAGCTATCACAGGCACTAGTGATAATTCATAATCTAGCAAGAAACCCTAATCCACAATTTCATGTGTTGGTTGGAAGCCTCTACAAAAGTGCTTAACAACAGACCTTACAAAAGGCCTGAAACAAACAGCAGCTCGCATTTATCTTACACCTGTTAATGAATAATTAACTGTTGAATACTCAAGCCAGCAAACAAACAAGATAACCATCTGAAAAGTTGGCAGTCTCACACATCCTTTCCTTTAGGCCTATAGTCACACACATTTTTGAATGGCAACAGGTCTGTGGAGTGTTCCTCCACTGTGGCCCTGAGTGAAATATTTCTATAAATGAAGTTGAGTGGGTTTTTTTTTTGAGACACCGTCTCACTCTGTCACCGAGGCTGGAGTGCAGTGGCATGATCTTGGCTCAGTGCAGCCTCCGACATCCTAGGCTAAGTGATCCTTACACCTCAGTCTCCTGAGTAGCTGGGACTAGAGGTGCATACTAACATGCCCGGCTAATTTTTTAATTTTTTGTAGAGATGGGGTTTCACTATGTTGCACAGGCTGAAGACTCAAGCAATCTGCCTACCTTGGCCTCCCAAAGTGCTGGGACTACAGGCATGAGCCACCCTGCCTGGACATAAATTGGATATTTCAGTTCAATGATACCATGTCCATTTCACTGTACATTCCTGGTACTGGACCAAATGCAACAAAACGCTGACATAAGTAGATGAGCCTAATTAATATTTTAGAGAGAGAAATTCCTACCATTAAAATTGAAACTATTTGGGAGGCTGAGGTTGGAAGATCACTTGAGGAACCAGGGCAACATGGCGAGAGCTTGTTTCTAAAAAAAACTAAATAAATTAGCTGAGTGTGGTGGTGTAGTCCCAGCTACTAGTGGGAGGCTAAGGTGGGAGGGTGGAAGAATCGCTTGATCCCAGGAGGTTGAGGCTGCAGTAAGCTGTGATCATGCCACTGCACTCCAGCGTGGGTGACAGAATAAGAAATATATATATATATGTATTTTTCTTTTTTTTTGAGACGCGTTTTGCTCTTGTTGCCCAGGCTGGAATGCAATGGTGCAATCTTGGCTCGCTGCAACCTCCCCACCTCACAGGTTCAAGCGATTCTCCTGCCTCAGCCTCTTGAGCAGTTGAGATTACAGGCATGTGCCACCACACCTGGCTAATTTTGTATTTTTAGTAGAGACGGGGTTTCACCATGATGGCCAGGCTGGTCTCGAACTCCTGACCTGAGGTGATCCACCCTCCTCGACCTCCGAAAGTGCTGGGATTATAGGTGCGAGCCACTGTGCCCAGCCAAGAAATTGTTAAAAAATAAATAAAACTGTTTAACAATTAAAGCTAGACCAACAGAGGGGACAGACCAACTTAAGGGAAGGAAGGGCTGCTTCTAGTAAATAGTGTAACTTATCGTTTTTATTTTTCTGTGAAAATGAAAATATGAGAGGGTAGTATCCACAAGCATCTAGGGAAATTTACTTTTATTATGCCTACAGGAAAATAAATTTAGGTTAAAAACAAGAACATAATTTCCTTTTTTTAATCCTTCCTGTCTAGATTTTTCTGAGTAAAACTTAAGGTAGTTACTCAAAAGACCAATCCTCAGATTCCCAGTAAACACTGTAATTCAGGATTCAGCCCTAAGGTGTTAGAACTGTTATACATATTTTTCATTAGTTTGTTTGCTATAGCAAGCTAAATATTTGCATTCTGCCTTGTACTGTAAAAGGTACGAATCTTAAGTATCACGGAGAATAAGGAGGCCACATTTTGACTAAAAAGGGATGTTAATGATCTCCAGTCCAACCGTCTTGTTTTCCAGATAAAGAAAGATGTTTTTCTCTGAGGTTCCAGAACACCTACACTAGGAATTCAATAAAGCATTTAATAAAAGAGAGCACTGAGAAGATGGGAGGAGCTGCTAATCTATATTTGTGAGGGCTCCCAGCATCATTTTTCATAATATGGAATAAAGATGAAAATATGGAGGCCACATCTGGGCATGGTGGCTCACACCTGTATCCCAGCACTTCAGGAGGCCAAGACGGGCAGATCACCTGAGGTCAGGAGTTCAAAACCAGTCTGGTCAACATGGCGAAACTCCATTTCTACTAAAAATACAAAAATTAGCTGGGCATGGAGTCGCATGCCTGTAACTCCAGCTACTTGGGAGTCTGAGGCTCCCAAGAATTGCTTGAACCTGGAAGGCAGAGGCTGCAGTGAGCTGAGATTGAGACACTGCACTCCAGCCTGGGTGACAGAGTGAGACTTCGTCTTAAAAAAAAACAAAAAAAAATAAACAAAAAACAAAAAAAAGGGGGCCACCAAAAGAAGACTTAGCACTATCTTTCCCTAGGCAAGAGACTTGGCTTAGCCAGCCGGTCCATAGGCTGACTCTGAGCCCTTCAGGAAGCCAGGCAGGAAGTGTACAGGCCAAGTGCGTAGTCTGAGGACACCTGACCCAGCAGTGTGGATGGACACTCTGAACTGACCTGCAGTACTTCGTAATAGTAGCAGTAAAGCCTGTGTGGCTGTAGTAGGTCCCTAGCCATCAACTGTCCTTCTTTTGCAATCTTCTCGGCTTCTTCATCATTTTCCTGAAAGGTTAAAAAAAAAATAAAAATGAATGAAAATTACTACTAAGACCCACAAAGAGAGGGTTAAGTGTGAGGTGGGACAGATGTGGGGTTGAAAGTGAACAGCATGGGAAAGACAGAACATAATGGAATTATAACTTAAGAATGAGGCTACAGGGGCCGGGTGCGGTGGCTCACACCTGTAATCCCAGTACTTTGGGGGCCCGAAGCTAGAGGATCACTTGAAGTCAGGAGTTCGAGATCAGTCTGGCCAACATGGCGAAACCCCATCTCTACTAAAAATACAAAAATTAGCTGGGTGTGGTGGCGGGCACCTGTAATCCTAGCTACTCAGGAGGCTGAGGCACGAGATTCCTTGAACCCAGGAGGCGGAGGTTGCAGTGAGTAGAGATCGTGCCACTGCATACCAGTCTGGGTGACAGAGTGAGACTCTGTCTCAAAAATAAATAAATAAACTAATAAATAAATAAAGAATGAGGCTACGGTAAGAGAGTATTTTCCTAGACATCTCTGTTAAAAGAAATGATCACATGTTTGGCCCCTTTTCCACAGTACGAGGAAACCACTCCTCCCCACAGTACAACAACCCACATGCAGCCCCTATTGTGACCATCTTGGTACTTTCCTGGCCACCCAGGAAGTACTCTTCAGCTTCCTCATCTGTCCCACCAGCCTATTTCCTCTCTGCATGATAGTAGAATGAATACGTTTTCATGTTATAATATCTTTTAAAAGCTCCATGCAAATATGCAGTCAGAGCCAAAAAGTTGTGTTATAAAATGGTAGCTATAAAAGACTGTATTGCTTTTGTAACCGAAAAATGCAGTCATTAGTACCCACAGGCTGTTCATTCAGTACCAGAAATAGTCAGCATTCCTAATTATACTTTTGGAAAATAGTTAATCTTCTACCATGCTGTCCGCAGGTAAGCCATTTGCGAGCAACTGAGGCTTTTACAAAGGGTCACAAAAGTGATTCTGCCTCAGGCATCCGATTATTTCCATAACCATATATTGTTTCTTAGAAACTTAGTATAAAATCTCATAATGGAAGGGTACATTTTTGTAGTTTTATAATAAAATGCAACAGTTTTTAAAATATTTTTACTTTTAAAAAAGGAATTCCTATTTTATGGGAAACGTGATTCTTGCATTATATAACACACATTCATTAAGAATTTGTGCCTTTTTTCTAACTGGGGATAAGAAAAGAGTACTGTAATTACCTGAAATGTTTTCTTGTTCATAAAGCACATTAACTCTGGTCTTTCAATCAGTAATTTGCATTTTGTATGTTCTTGTTTGTATGTGTAAACACAGCATTTAGAAAATCTGTATTTTATATAAGGCTGGACTTCAAATCTTCTGAAAATCTTCAAAAATGTTGATAGAGGGTATGCAAAATGATTCTGATGCTGAATCTTTAGATATTTCAAGGGAACAGCAATTTCACAAAACAATATTTCTTTTCATTCCATTATGTCACATCAAATTGTGTTGTGATGGAACTCATCTAACACTGGTAAATTTGTTATTGCTTAAAGAAATAAAAATTGCTGGAAGCATACCTTAGCCCATTTAACTTTCTCTAATAAATCACTCAGATTTCTTTTAATTGGAACATAATGCTTCCAAGGTTCTAGTGCCATGTAGAAATGTTCATAGTATGGCGAGTCCTGCTTTAAAACCAGACTGTCGCCCAGCATGAGATATGGATATCTGTAAGCAGCCACGGTCCCATCCACATTTACTTGATACTTATACTGGAAGATGAAAAACAAACATAAACAAACTTTCAGTAGTCATTTGCTTCACTTCTGCTTCTCATCAACACCGTAATACCAACTACAGAGGAATTATTTTCCAACTTTGGTGTTTAAAAGTTTTATTTTATAACTTACATCTTCTCTTTGTATAAAAATCACAAGCAGCCTTTCTCAGATTAATTTTAGGAAATATACTGTTTAAAGCTAAGATGTGAAATTTTTGGAAATAGGAGTGAAGACCTATTTCAGTCATGTCTCTGTAATATGGAATCCAGATTTCCAGATTTCAGGTAGGAAAACTATTTTTTCTTTTTAAATTTTAATTAGTTTGTTTTGTTGTTGTTGTTGTTGTTGTTGTTGTTTTTGAGACAGTGTATTGCTCTGTCACCCAGGCTGGAATGTAGTGGCATGATCTTGGCTCACTGCAACCTCTGCCTCCTGGGTTTATACAATTCTGGTGCCTCAGCCTCCTGAGTAGCTGGGATTACAGGCACCCACCACTGCAGCCAGCTAATTTTTTTCCTATTTTTAGTAGAGACAGGGTATTCCCATGTGGCCAGGCTGGTCTCAAACTCGTGACCTCAGATGATCCGCCCGCCTCAGCATCCCAAAGTGCTGGGATTATAGGCGTGAGCCACTACGCCCAGCCAGGAAAACTATTTTCAAAATTGTTAAAGCTGAATACTGATAACAACGAACACTTTCATTTATTCATTATTTCATTTGTTCCTTATATGCAGTCTATGAAACAGGCAGGCATTGTCTCTGCTTTACAGTTTCAGAGCTGAGGAGACAGAAACCTGGAGACGTTTAAGGACTTGGGCAATGCTGGCAACACAGTAGGAAAGCTGTCTGCATATTTGTTGGGTTAATATACTTTGTTTTCCATTTCAAATGCAGTTTTCATAGGCATTAAACCTCATTCAATTATAATAATCTGAGGCAGGTATTATTAACCCCTTCTTTTTGTTTTCACAATTGAGAAAACTGGTATTCAGAGAAATGTATAAACCTCATTCTGAGTCCAAATCCCCTGTTCTACTCATTATCTGGGATGAAGAGGACACACTCCCAGATTTGGTAAATAATTTTTTCTCAAATAATTGGTACAAGGAGTTTTTGAGCCCATCAGGTTTTGTCACATTGTTCACATCTCTCCTCTGGGCCTCGTGATAATGTTCTGAAGGAGTCGGTAGGCATCACATGGGTTTAAAGACTAAGGCGCCAAGACAGGAAGGTCCCATAGTTGGTGGCAGAGGCAGGATAGAAGCAGCAGGCCTTGAACCCTAATCCCAACTCCCACTTTACATATATGGAATTTATACTTTTTCTATTTACAAAAGACATTTGAGATCACTTTATGTAAAAGGTATTTAAATTCCCAGTTTATTAAAGCAAATACAAAAAAAAAAAAAGAAAAAAAATGACATAAATACACCAAAATCCCAGGTTAATCCTTGTACTATATTTTGAGAATTAAGTACAGTTCTGAGTTATTTGGTAAACTTAATGAAAGAAGGAAACCACAATGAATTTTGTAATTCCTGATATCTATTAAGAAAGTGTGAACATGTGTGTCAGTTCACATGACAGGAGAAATTTGCTGAAGCCCACCTATTTTGGTAGACTTTTAATACCAAATTTTATCACTTCATATCCATAGAAGAAGACTCAAATGCATACCTTAAAGAAATCAAAGAAACCCATCAACTTGGCTTTTCCAAGCTCCTTTTCTTTCTCTTGGAAAAAGAAATATCCTGTAATTCCTGCGTCTAGTAGCTGAGGATTTTCTTTGGACAGCTGTACCAACTGAAGCCTCTCCTCTCGGCTGTCTCTACCTCTGAAGAAAGCTCTCTCTGTTTTATTGATCCAGGAAGGCCCTACAAGTTTGAAGCCATTAAAAAATTATGATTATGAATCTGACATTTTAATATGGTAAGCATAATCCTCTTTAGTCTACTGTTGTCATTTAAGATGTTAAAGCTCTTTTATCATCGACTCATCTTCTAAAGTAGATGCTATTTCAAATAAAATATGGGATTGAGTCTCAATTTGCCAGAAGAACTTTCAAGTTTAGACTTTCAAAAAGAGTCCTTTTATTTGCTGTATTATATAAAAGAAGGTTCTAATTTCATCTATTTGTCTGCTAGTGAAAGCTCATGCAAGTATTGGTATATTCTGTTATATAATACTAGGAAATACCTGAAATGTCAGACCATGTTCAAAGCAAAAAGAGATTCAGTGACTTGGCCCACTCACCAAGGCATTAGCTTCTTCCATTTTCTGTGTTTCACAGTAAAACGTGAGCTAGGTCTTTGTTCTTACATAGGGTGACCAGAAAAAACTAAATAACTGAGTAACATCCACAAATCTTTAATCCCTAGGTTGGTCAGAATTTTGAATACAAGAAAGACTTTTTCTAATATGCTACTGAATGCAAACATATATGTATAACCCACTCTCTAAGCTTTTTCTTCATTAATTAGCCTTGCATTTCCCTGAATACCTGTATTTCCCTGAATAGAGAGGAGATCATTTGTAACACCCCGCATGGCTTCAAGCGTGGAGTGAGTGATGTCATAGGTTGGGAGGACAACATCTCTTGAATCCAGAGAGCCACACCATGAAATGATAGGTATGGGGCTGGGGGTTCCATTGACTTTTCGATGCTCCAAGGGCCAATCTCCAAGATTAACATAAAATTCTAAATCTGGGAGAAGGACCTAAATAAATATATAAACAAACATCAGTGCTGGGAAGATCTCAGTCTTTGGTACTAAATACAATAGTTCTTTGGTTTTCTTACATATTCTGACCAGGCTAACCATTCAAAAACAGCAAGAGAAGAGAGAAGAATGCCTGTCAATTTGTCATCTGTGAGGATCCTACATGGCAAATTCACTTAACCAGGAGTCAGCTACCTCTGTCCAGAGGTGCATTTAAAATTCAGTGTTTGAGGCCAGGCGTGGTGGCTCACACCTGCAATCCCAGCACTTTGGGAGGTCGGGGCAGGTGGATCACTTGAGATCAGGAGTTTGAGAACAGTCTGGCCAACATGGTGAAATTCCATCTCTACTAAAATTACAAAAATTAGCTGGACTGGTGGCAGACACCTGTAATCCCAGCTACTTGGGAGGATGAGGCAGGAGAATCGCTTGAACCTGGGAGGTAGAGGTTGCAGTGAGTCGAGATCGTGTCACTGCGCTCCAGCCTGGGCAACAGAGTGAGACTCCCTCTCAAAACAACAACAAAAACAACAAACAAACAAAAAAATGAAATAAAATAAAATGTGTTAGAGAAGCGGAAATTGTGTAGAAAGGTATGAATGAGTGGCTTCGAGAACCCTCTCTGCCAGCTGCCTAAGAGAATCTACAAAGTTATAACCAAACCCTTGTTTTTCTTCACTGTTCTCCCTCTTTACCTCATATGCGCTTGCCTCTGGAACCTGCCACTCCGTTTCCATCTCCATGATCAATGTCTCAGTTTAGGCCCTCATTTCTTGCCTATATTGTTGCAACAGCTTCCTTACTAGGTGTTCTGATTCTGGGCTCTTCATACTGTAATCTGCTCTCCACAGGGCTGCTCAGATTTCCAAAACTAAAATTAATTCCAAAACTAACATTTCTAAAATAACTTGGTTAATGTCACTACCAAGCTCAACAGAACCTTAAGCCTATGGCACAAGATCTCAACTCTCTGGCTGGCATTCAGGGCCTCACTATCTTGTTCCAGCTTGGCTATAAGCCTCGTGTTTCATCTGCCCACATACCAGGAAACCTCAGGCTACTCTCTGAAAATGCCATCCACCTCAACATGTAATTCCCTTCACTTGGAATGTTTTACTTATTTAACTTGGCAGTCTCCTTTCTAATCCTTCAAGCCCAGATCTAACACCACCTCTTCTATGACTCACCCTCCTCCGGGGTACTTAAACCCGAGGTACTTACTTTTCTTGAGGCCTATCATCATATTGGGATATAATCATTTGTTTGTATTCACATCCCACTCCCACTTCCAAACAACAAAAAAAATTCCCACTAGAGTGCGCTACTCAAAGACTAGGACTGAGTCTCATTTATCTTAGATTTATTTCTTCCCCAGCCACTGGGCAAATAACAAAAGGAAAGGGTGAGAGATGTGAATATTCACCCTCTTGCTTCCCTGTCATCGTTATTATTATTATTATTATTATTATTATTATTATTATTATTATTTTGAGACAGGGTTTCGCTCTGCCACCCAGGCTGGAGTGCAGTGGTGCGATCTCGGCTCACCACAACCTCTGCCTCTCAGGTTCGAGTGATTCTTGTGCCTCAGCCTCCCGAGTAGCTGAGATTATAGGCACGTGCCACCACGCCTGGCTAATTTTTGTATTTTTAGTAGAGATGGGGTTTCACCATGTTGGTCAAGCTGGTCTCAAACTCCTGACCTCAAATGATTCACCTGCCTCGGCCTCCCAGAGTGCTAGGATGACAGGTGTGAGCCACCATGCCCAGCCTCCCTGCTATTATTTACAAACTCATTAATAAACTCCACATTGGAAGTACTCACTGTGGAGTAGGGTTTCTCAAGCTCACATTATTGACATTTGGGGTTAGATGATTCTTTGCTATGGAGTTGGGGGGTGCTATCCTTTGCATTGTAGGATGCTTATCCACTAGATGATAATAGCAACCCCTGAGCTGTGACAACCAAAAATGTCTCTAGACATTGGCAAATGTCCTCTGAGGGGCAAAATCATCCCTGGTTAAAATCTACTGCCATGGGTTAAACTACTCCCTGGTTAAAATCTACAGCAATATGGGTTAAACAGGCAAGAATACAGGGCACAGTTGACTACTTGTAACCCAGGAAGAGAGCACTACCTTTAGGAGCAGATGCCCATCATATGCTTGTATCCTCACATTGTGGGCTGATGGCAGAGGGGTTGGGGACTGCTATTTAAAGTAAGAACTGACTGCAGGCACACAGTCAGCATACTTGGCGAATTGTATAACATATTAGGAAAACTGTGCTTTGTTCTTTGGTTTATAAAAATCCCTTGGCCGGGCGCAGTAGCTCATGCCCAGCACTTTGGGAGGCCAAGGTGGGCGGATCACGAGGTCAAGATTTCGAGACCAGCCTGACCAACATGGTGAAACTCCATCTTTACTAAAAATACAAAAATTAGCCAGGAGTGGCAGTGCACGCCTATAATCCCAGCTACTCGGGAGGCTGAGGCAGGAGAATCGCTTGAACCCAGGAGGCAGAGGTTGCAGTGAGCCAAGATCATGCCACTGCACTCCAGCCTGGGTGACAGAGAGAGACTCCGTCTCCAAACAAACAAACAAACTCCCTTGATGGTCCCTCTGAGTAAGAAAGATAAATATTGCCCACCTCCATCCCTCACCCTGTATGATCAGAAACAAGGACAAAAGGTAGTTTAAGTTGCTCTGCTTAAGAGGAATTTAGAGTTCTGCAAATGTGGAAAGAGAGGTTGAATAGCAAGATAAGGGGGCGCTACTGGGGGATGTGGAGAGCCTGAAGGACAGGGGGCCTAACCACATTAGTGAGAGGCTAAGACCTTAAGGTCAAGGACAGCCACGAGAAATTCCCAGAGGCAAGCATGACTGAGAGTCTGATGAGTACAGAGATGTCTATTTTTAAATGTCAGGATTTTTGTTTGTTTTTTAGTATGCACTGGTGTAAAAAAAAAAACAACCTGTTTCTGGTACCCCAAGCTTTGACAAAATGTTCCATGCATGCTATCTTCTAGGTATGCTTAGGGTAAAACAAGGAAAATGTGTTCTAAGTTCAAGTCATTTTGAGGTGAAGAAAAGAAAACAGCTGCAGAAGGTGAAATCTAAACAGGGGTGGTATTCAGCAGGAACAGAGAACTTAAAGTGACCTCTCAGTATGGTTGTGCATGCCTATAGTCCCAGCTAGGACCAAGGCTGAGGCAGGAGGATGGCTTCAGCCCAAGAATTTGAGACTAGCCTGCACAACACAGCAAGACCCCACCCCTATTTTAAAAAATAAAATAAATAAATAAATAAGAGACAGTTCTGTTTGGATACTGTAAATATAGACTATTAAAAAAGAAGAAGAAGAAGAAGCAACCTTGTTATAAATGTCTGGAAGCTCAAAGAAACCTTGGGAGTGTCCTGTACGGCATACCTACCTGGAATGGGGGCTCAAGCCACTTTATTTTATTTTATTATATTTATTTATTCGAGATGGAGTCTCACTCTGTCACCCAGGTGGGAGTGCTGTGGCACAATCTTGGCCCACTGCAGCCTCCACCTCCTAGGTTCAAACGATTCTCCTACCTCAGCCTCCTGAGTAGCTGGATTACAGGTGCCCACCACCACGCCCAGCTACTTTTTGTATTTTTAGTAGAGATGGGGTTTTGCCATGTTGGCCAGGCTGGTCTTGAACTCCTGACCTCCAGTGATCCACCCGCCTCAGCCTCCCAAAGTGCTGTGATTGCAGGTATGAGCCACCATGTCCAGCCTCGAGCCACTTAATTTTAAATCTTACAGGAAAGTGAGATCCACAAAGGTGGAGAACATACGAACACTCAGGTTGCAAATATCTTAGATGCCCATTTATCAGCCTAAAATCTGTTTCATCCTTTGTCATTATAATTCTAAACATTTAAATGTGTATACCCAAATAATTAAACTGTATTATCAATTCATTCATTCTCCTACCTTTCTTGTCAATGATAACAAAATCTCATCAGAGAACATCTTGAAGTCTGTGTATTTCCCTAAAGATCTCCGGTAAATGTGGTTATCGAGAATCGTGTAATGAACAATGGCACCTCTCTCATCCCCAAACCTTTTGGGGACTTCATTTAACATTTGCTGGAGATTGATGCTGGGAAAGGAAGCAAAATCTTTTGCGATCTGTGGTTCCTTGGTTGGACAAGAAAGAGTTTTCTGCCAGGCCTGAGGATCTTCCGGACACTCACAGTACTCATGGTACACTGGTCCTAGGGAAGGAAAACATGAACAAGGCCGCACTCCATTAGCAAGCACCACAGCACAGGGAGTCGCTTCTGTCTCTGCTTCTTGGTGAATTCTAAGAATATCCAGAGATAATCTGCCCTAGTCAAATCAGTGGTGTACGTGATTATGTTAGAGTCCTATACTTTTACTTTCCTTTTCACACCACCTTGGATAACACAATTTAGTATATGCCCTCTCCCAATTGAACCTACTCTCGGTCACTTAGCTGATAAATTCATTTCTAGTAAGGTATAAATGGCTGGCAAACATAAAACAACTTACCTTTTAGGAAGGAGAAAAAGAATGTATTAATTTTTAGACATTATGTAAACCAAAAATAAAATTCTAAGCCTCCTAGATCATCCAAATGGATCCTTCCTTTTGGCCAAGGGCATTCCAAAGTTAATCTGAAAAACTAGTTCGGCCATGAAGGGAAAGGGGAGACAGGCATGCCTCATTATACCCTCCTCCCTGTTGGAATTCAGGCCCAGCTGACCAGGATTAACATCAACATAGACCTTGGTGAACTGACTCTTTAAGTCTAATAAGAAACATTTGCAATCTCTTCTGTGTAGCCTGCTACCTGGAAGCCTCATCTGCATGATAAAATCTTGGTTTCCGCAAACCCTTATCATAAGCCCAGACATTCCTTTCTATTGATTCTAAGTCTTTAGACAATAACTTAATTTTTTCAACCAACTGCCAATCAGAAAACCTTTGAATCTACCTGTGACCTGGAAGCTACAGTCAACCACTCCCAACCACACCCACCCCTTCCAGTTGTCTCTCCTTTCCAGACCAAACCAATGTACATCTTACATGTATTGATTAATGTCTTATGTCTCCCTAAAATGTATTAAAACCAAGTTGTAGCCTGACCACCTTAAGCACATGTTCTCAGGATGTCCTGAGGGTTGTGTCATGGGCCATTGGTCATTGAGTCTGAGAGGTGGGGAACAATAAGATAAGCCCTGCAGTTCCTACAGCCTACTGCTTAAGGGAGCTTCGAGGCTGTAGTGCAGGGTGGGGCACTGTAGGCAAAACCAGGTAGTCTCACTGAGTTCAATGTTTGGCTCAGAATAAATCTCTTCAAATATTTTAGAGTCGGACTCTTTCTTTTTCTTTCTTTCTTTCTTTCCTTCCTTCCTTCCTTCCTCCCTCCCCTCCTTCCTCCCTCCTTTCTTTCTCTCTCTCTCTCTCCCCCTCCCTCCCTCCCTCTCTTTCTTTCTTTTTCTTTTTTTTTGTGGCAGGGGGACACAGTCCACTCTGGCTGAGACTCTGGCAGAGTTGCCTAGGCTGGAGTGTAGTGGTGTGATCTCAGCTCACTGCAACCTCTACCTCCCAGGCTCAAGCGATTCTCCTGCCTCAGCCTCCCGAGTAACTGGGATTACAGGTGCGTACCACCATGTTTGGCTACTTTTTGTATTTTTACTAGAGATGGGGTTTCACCATGTTGGCCAGGCTGGTCTCAAACTTCTGATCTCAAGTGATCCACCTGCCTTGGCCTCCCAAAGTGCTGGGATTACAGGCGTGAGCCACTGTGCCTGGCCATAAATTTGACTCTCTTCATTGACAACAAGTAACAGGGACTGATGTACCATCCCACCTGAAACAACCAGAAAATACCTCCACAAAACATATGAAACAATAGTTTTTTGTTGTTTTTGTTATTGTTTTTTTGAGATGGAGTCTCACTGTGTTGCCTAGGCTGGAGTGCCGTGGTGTGATCTCGGCTCACTGCAACCTCTGCCTCCTGGGTTCAAGTGATTCTCCTGCCTTGGCCTCCTGAATAGCTAGGATTACAGGCACTCACCACCACACCCAGCTAATTTTTTGTATTTTTAGTAGAGATGGGGTTTTGCCATATTGGCCAGGTTGGTCTCAAACTCCTGATATCAAGTGATCTGCCTGCCTCGGCCTCCCAAAGTGCTGGGATTACAGGTGTGAGTCACCACACCTGGCCTTAAACAATAGTTTTTAAGGCACTAAGTATTAGGCAATGAAGGACAGTGAGTCTGAGGGATGGGGAACAAATAAGGTAAGCCCTATAATTCCTACAGCCTACTGCTTAAGGGAGCTTTGAGGTTGTAGTGCAGGGAGGGGGCCTGTCGGCAAAGGCAGGCAGCCTCACTGAGTTGAAGAGACAGAGCTGACAGTCCAGGGAGACCAAGGCAGCTCTAGACTTTGTAGGACAGAGTATCTAAAAAGGAAGCACTGCACAGAGAGAACATTAGAGATCTGTAGGAGGTCCTCTTCACATATTAAGCAGAACATATGATCAGTGCATGTTAGAGGAGTTCTTCCCCTGTACTGGTTCCAAAAATAATACAGTTTAATTATTTAGGTATAACATCTAAATGTTTAGAATGATAATGACAAAGGATGAAAACAGATTTCAGGCTGAGAAATGGACATCTAAGATATTTGCCACCTGAGTGTTCATATGTTCTTGGGGAAGACAGCGGAAGAACCCATCCGAAATGATCAGAGGGAACAGTACTTACCAGTGGGTACCAGCCAGACTGGAAAGCCTTCTAATTCATAGGGCTTGGGTAAAGTATGCAGAAGGGTATTGCCTCAGTAGCGGGGAATAATTAGCCCTAGACTAAACATGGCAGTAGTACCACCTAACAAATTGTAAAAGCAAAGCTTGGAAGGATTAAACTATTTCCCAGTAATGTAACTGCACCCCAGAAACGAGTTCAAGAAGATGAAAAAGCATCAAGAGGTGAAAACTAGACTGCATAGGATTGACAACAGATTGTACATTGCAGAAGAGAATATAATAGAATTTTGAGACAGTAATAGAAACTATACAAAATGAAACAGAGAGAAAAAATAATTTAAAAAATGAAGAGTATCAATGAACCATAGGATAGTTTCAAGCCCAATATATGGGTAATCAGTATCCTTGAAGGTAAGGTGGAATGGAACAGAAAACATATTTGAAGCAATCATGGCCATAATTTTTCTAAATTTGACGAAATTTAAATCACTTGGATGACTTAAATTCCAAGAAGTTCCACAAATCCCAAACACAGGAAACATTAAGGAAACTGCACCAAGGCACATAATAATCAAACTTCTCAAAAAAACTGATAAGGAGAAAACCTTAAAAGCAACACAGATGAACAAAGATAAGGAAAATGCTAGATTTATTGTTAGAAGCAATGCAAGTGAGAAGACAGTGGAACCACATCTTTAAAGTCTCAAAAGAAAAAAACCCATCAACCTATAACTATAACTACAGACAATGTCTTTTAAAAACAAAGGCAAACTAGGCCAGGCATGGTGGCTCATGCCTGTAATCCCAGCACTTTGGGGAGCTGAGGCAGGAGGATCACTTGACCACAGGAGTTGGAGATCAGCCTAGGTAACATAACAAGACCCTGTAGAAACAAAAAAATGTTTTGGAGAAACAAAAAAATATTTTTTTAATTAGCTGGGTATGGTGGTGTGTGCCTGCAGTCCTAGCTACTCAAGAGGCTGAGGCAGGAGGTTTGCTTTAAGCAGTTTTTGTTTCTGTTTTATATTTTTTTGAGACAGGGGGTCTCACTCTGTCCCCCAGGCGGGAGTGCAGTGGCACGATCACAGCTTACCGCAGCCTCAACCTCCCTGGGCTCGGGTGATCCTCGTACCTCAGCCTCCTGAGTAGCTGGGACTACAGGTATGTACCACCACACCCAGCTAATTTTTTGTAGAGACAGGTTTTTGCCATGTGGCCTAGCCTGGTCTTGAATTCCTGGGCTCAAGTGATCCCCTGGCCTTGGCCTCCCAAAGTGCTGTGATTATAGGTGTGAGCCACTGCACATGGCCTAGCCCAGCAGTCTGAGGTTGCAGTGAGCTTTTTTTTGAGATGGGAGTCTCGCTCTGTTCCCCAGGCTGGAGTGCAATGACGTGATCTTGGCTCACTGCAACCTCCACCTCCCAGGTTCAAGCGATTCTCCAGCCTCAGCCTCCCGAGTAGCTGGGACTTCAGCATGTGCCACCATCATGCCTGGCTAATTTTTGTATTTTCGGTAGAGACGGGGTTTCACCATGTTGCCCAGGCTGGTCTTGAACTCCTAAGCTCAAGTCATCCGCCCGCCTCTGCCTCACAAAGTGTTGGGATTACAGGTGGGAGCCACTGCGCCCAGCCTGCAGTGAGCTTTGACTGTGCCACTGTACTCCAGCCTGTGCCATAGAGCAAAACCGTGTCTCAAAGTAAACAAAAAACAAATCAAACAAACAAAAGGCAAAATAAAGTTTTTTTAGACATTCAAAAGCCAGAAGAATTCATCACCAGCATTCTCACAGTAAAATAAATATTAATAAAAATCCTTTAGGCAGAAGGCAAATGTTACTAGATGGAAATATGGATCTACACAAAGGAATGAAGAGTTTCACAAATAGTAACTACTTGGATGTTAATACACAAGATTTCTTTTCTTATCATTTAAATCTCTTTACTTAATTTTCTTTCCCTTAAAATTTAAATTGAGCTCCAGGAGGTATGTATACAATGTTTACTCTAATGCACATGACTTTGAGGTCATCAGGTTTAGGCCATTCTGAAAGGCATGGGACCTATACATAAGGCTGACTCTGCAGTATATAATAATCCTTACCTTTCAAAATATAGGGAGACTGAGCCACATGTTCATCGCCATAAAGAACCTCTATCTTCAGCCCTTCATTGACAGTTTCATACATCCGATATCTCATCAAAAATGTTCCATCGTTCCTGTCCAAAGGTTTAGGGACATGTATCCGGACCAACTCTTTGGGTGAAAGAGATTTGACTACTACTTTGAATGGTGTTTGACCTAAAAGGAAAAGAAATATAAACCACTCTACCATGTCATGATTATGATTTACAATTTTATTGGATAGGTGTTATTGGATAACTTAAATATCTTGCTTATTCCTGCAGCATTGGTGGTTTAAAAAAAAATCATTTACTTTTGGAAGATCTTTGAGGCCAGGAACTATCATGTCTGGTTCATGCATTCTTTTTTTTTTTTTTTTTTTTTTTTCTTTTTTGAGACAGGGTCTTGCTCTGTCATCCAGGCTGGAGTGCAGAGGTGCAATCCTAGCTCATTACAGCTCCAACCTCCTGGGCTCATGAACCTCCTGCCTCAACCTGCACCAGCCCCATGCATAGGTGGGACTACAGGAGTGTGCCACCATGCCTAGCTAATTTGTTTAATTTTTTGTAGAGATGGTAGGGGGCGGGATGGGTTGGAGGGGGTCTTGCTATGTTGCCCAGGCTGATCTCAAACTCCTGACCTCAAGCAATTCCCACTGCCTCAGCCTCCCAAAGTGTTGGGATTACAGGCTTGAGCCACAGTGCTTGGTCTGGTTCATGTATTCAAGCCACGGATCAGACTCAACATTGATTTACTGCATGAACAAAAGCAATTCATTTTTTGAAAGCAAATAAAAAATAAACTTTTTGCTTGTTTAGTCTTTCCTCCTTTGGGTAGGATTAAAGCCCAGATAATTAAAAACCCATGGACTCTAAGCATGACAGATCTCTATAGTAATCGAACTTCCTCCTTGTAAAATACACACAAGCTTTCTTTGTATACCATTTCAGTATCTAATAACCTTCATTTCTGTGAAAATTTCCCTGTTTATTAAGCCCAAATTTCAAGTGGTACTTCTAAGCCCATTTCCTTAGGTAGAGAGAGATTATAACTAGTTACCAGACTCTTGTACAAGTTCACACACATACACACACACAAACACACACACACACATCTTTGCAAATACTAGAGATTACTTCTGAGTCTGTTTGCTCAGCTTGAAATGAAACAGCTACACTATAATAATCCATTCTACCTTTAAAGTTTTGTGGGGTTTCTGTTCTAGGTAAATAATACCTATTTAACAAACTTTCCCTTTCCTATTTGCTGACATTTTGGCTTTGAAATGATACTGTTGTGATTAATGCTATTGCAGCCAGGAATAAACTTTGAAACTTCTTCCTTCAGAGAGTGCAGTGGATATACCATTTAGATCATCATATCAAAGGGAAATGCTAAAAAAATTAATGAATCCTCTGAAATCCCCCGTCCTAGCAAACAGAAAATTGTGACCAAAGTTGTTTTTCACTTCACATCTATCATATTATAAAATTTAGAATATTTAAAATATATCTTTTGAGATTACTAAACAAGTTTGTGAAATTCTTAGTTTCTAAATCTAGTAAGTATAAGATCTACTTTCTTTTGATCTTTAAGGGTTTTTCTTGTGAGTTCACAGAAATGTTTCTCAGTCTCTTCAATTTAGTAATAACAATGTGGTATCTGATATCTTGCTATTAAATATTAATAATTGAGTACCAAACATAAACATTTTAGGATCCTTGAAACAAGTATGATAAAATTATGAAAGAAATCTGCTAGCCTAAATGAAGTATAATAAACATGGAAGATGCTATAAAGTGGTAATAATTTAATATGAAATTATTAGAAATGTTGGCCAATTACCTGAACTGAATAAATGAAACACATAAATTATTGCTTTGCATTATTTCCCACATGGTTTCAGAAAGGCAACATGGTGCAGCAGATTGAAATCTGGACAGGAAAGTCTGGGAATTGGAAAGCCATTTCCATTGCTCCCTCCCCAAACTGGAAATGTACAAAAAGGTTTTCTTATTTCCTGATCAAATAGTCTTATTCGCCATACATTATTATTTTAAATAAACAAAACAGATATAAGACAAGAATATTATTGACTGTGACTTTTGGGAAAGACATACAGAAAAAAACAACTAGCTCCAAAATGCATCAATTATTTGTAAATTGAAAGTATTAGATAAATAATTATGGTCGCTTCCAGTTGTAATATTTTTTGTCGCTGAAATACCATTTAAAAGTCACATTTCAAAATGTATGTATACAACTATAATATAGCCATTGGAAATATATATTTTAAATATTCAGTTATTTTTTATAGTAATCTTTCATGCCTGTGTCATTGTTGACACGAAATTAATGTTAGAATTAATGCAAGATAATACTGATCAGGACTGAAATAGAAATAAGGAATCCGAACCTCACAAAAGAGAAAATGAGAAGAGTGAAATTTCTAATTGCTTCAAATGGAAGGAATGAAAATTCTCATTAGCTCTGGGGACTAATATAGTGGGATAGAATTGAGGCTCAGTGGCTGGGGGTGGTGGCTCACGCCTGTAATTCCAGCACTTTGGTAGGCCAAAGTGGGCAGATCACGAGGTCAGGCGTTTGAGACCAGCCTTGCCAACATGGTGAACCCCTTCTCTACTAAAAATGCAAAAATTAGGCGGGCATGGTGGCACACACCTGTAATCCCAGCTACTCAGGAGGCTGAGGCAGGAGACTCGCTTGAACCCAGGAGGCAGAGGTTGCAGTGAGCCGAGATTGCACCATGGCACTCCAGCCTGGGCAACAGAGCTAGACTCTGTCTCAAAAAAAAAAAAAAAAAGAATTGAGGCTCAGCTTGAGTTTCTACTCAATAAATTCAAACTTAAGAAAAATAGCTGACTGGATGAGAATGCAGTGACTATGTAGACAAAAGGAGGCTGGTAGTATCAAAGTGTTACATCATTAGAATCTGAAATCTTGAACATGTTTGATTTGGTAAGAAATCAAATGCATATTTAGAAATTAACTTAGTACTTTTTATGGGCTTGAGACTTTCATATGTATTTTCTGTGTCATTTATTTCCTACAAGAAATTTGAGGTAGGTATCTGTCACTCCCATTTTATAAATCAAGAAACCAATGCTCCAAGAAGTAAAGTAACTTGCCCAAGGTCACATACATAATGAGCAGAGGAGCCAATATTTGAATGTAGCTTTGCAGCAGTCACAGTTGGAGGAATACTTCTGGCACTTTGGATACATTGGAGTCATCTCCTCCTCTGTTGTTTAGGAAGTTCATTAAGGCTCTCTACAGCTGCAACAAAACTGTTGACCCCACATGGTCAAGGGAAACAAAATCCCAGAAGGCCAAGGTGTTGTACCATGAGGCTAAATGGAAATCCTCCAAAAATATCTGGCTAGCTGCCAACGATGAACACCCTCCAACATCTTATTGTAAACTGACGCACGACAATCATATTAAGGATGATGTGATAAAACAGAAAAAGCAATGAAGTAGAAGTTCAAAGGGCTGTTCCTGCCTTGGCTCTGACACATTCGCTGTGGAGCCCACCAGACAAGGCATTTTAGCTTCAATGAGCCCAGTTTCTTATGTGTAACGACAGTAATATCTATCCTTCCTACCTTACAAGACTATTTTAGAGGACAAATTAAGCAAGGCATAGTACAAAACACTAAAGTGCTACACAACCAGGAGGTAAGATTATTTTATGAAGATATTATTACTGATGAAGATGGAAGACTCAGTAGAAAATAACTATTTATATCCTTCCATCTTGACATATTTCAATCACCCCTCCCTCCACCCCTTCCTTCTTTTCATCTATAATACTCAGCATCTCTGCCAGGCATTGTGCTAGAGGGTGGGAATATAACACTATCAACAGGTACTGCCTACATTCATAATTGAAGGAAATGTTCAATTTAAGTAAGAGTTTACTGAAAATAAAGATACAGGTTTTTTTCTTCCCCCCATCCAAGGGCAAAGACCTTATAATTTCAGTCTGTGAACCCCAGTTTGAGGTGTCCTGCTTGAGATCACTGAAGTTCACAATATTTTTGTTATCTGGGTACTTGGATATATGTAGCATAATAGTGGCATTCAGATAAATTCTACACTTTGAATGGGAGTGATAATAAGGAAAACTCTCTAGTTGGGTACAACAGGCTATAGCTTGAGAAGATTTTTCCTCTTTCCAATTCATTCTTTTTAGTTCTTGTGTGTGTGTGTGTGTGTGTGTGTGTGTGTGTGTGAGAGAGAGAGAGAGAGAGAGAGAGAGAGAGAGAGAGAGAGAGAGAGAGAGATGGGGTCTCACTCCGTCACCCAGGTTGGAGTGCAGTGGTGCAATCTCAGCTCAATGCAACCTCGGCCTCCCAGGCTCAAGAGATCCTCCCACCTCAGCCTCCCCAGTAGCTGGGACCACAGCTGTGCACCACCACGCCTGGCTGATATTTTGGATGTTTTTGGTAGATGGGTTTTGCCATGTTGCCCAGGCTGGTCTCAAACTTCTGAGTTCAGGCAATCTACCTGCCTTGGCCTCCCGAAGTGCTGAGATTACAAGGCATGAATACCCAGCCATCAATTGGTTCTTGAAGAGGGAAAGACCTCAGGACTTGGAAGTGAATGTTGGTGGCAGAAATGTAAGAAACTAGTTGGGTGAGTTTTCAGAACTATAGGGCAGCTTTTTAACTGGAAGCCAGAAATCAAGAGGCCTGAAAGGAAACAAAGGGAATCCACAGGAATGAAAGTAAGGTTGTCCGAAAAGTCTTCATTTTATTTATTTATTTAGAGAAAGGGTCTTGCTCTGTCGCCCAGGCTGGAGTGCAGCAGCACAATCATAATGCATTGAAACCTTGAGCTCCTGGGCTCAACTGATCCTCCTGCCTCAGCCTCCCAAGTAGGTAATTTCTTAAATTTTTATTTTCAGTAGAGATGGAATCTTGCTTTGTTGCCCTGGCTGGGAAGTCTTTCTAAGACTAAAATAAGGAAAAGTCATAGATCGCAGGGGTAAACCAAGCAGAAACATAAATGTAACTTTCCTTCTGTTAAGATATTTAATAGAAACTGTTTGTAAACTGTTTTTCATTTGTTTAAAGAATATATTTATGTGTATATATAATATATATGCATATATAAATGTACACACAACTTTTAAGTCATGTATCATTTGGATCTTAATTGAGAGTCTTTAATATATATCAGAGGTTGGCAAACTATAGCTAATCCAGCTCACTGCCTGTTTTTGTAAATCCTGTAAGCTAACAATGATTCCTATGTTTTTCAAATGGGGATGGGCACGGTGGATTATGCCTGTAATCCCAGCATTTGGGGAGACTGAGGCAAGAGGATCCCCTGAGCCCAGGAATTTGAGGCTGCAGTAGCTATGATTGTACCACTGCACTCCATCCTGGGTGACAGAGACCCTGTCTCTTAAAAAAAAAAAGGGGGGGGCGGGTGTGGTGGCTCACTCCTGTAATCCCAGCACTTTGGGAGGCTGAGGTGGGTGGATCATGAGGTCAGGAGATTGAGACCATCCTGGCTAACACGGTGAAACCCCGTCTCTACCAAAAATACAAAAAATTAGCCGGGTGTGGTGGCGGGTGCCTGTAGCCCCAGCTACTCGGGAGGCTGAGGCAGGAGAATGGCGTGAACCCGGGAGGCGGAGCTTGCAGTGAGCAGAGATCACGCCACTGCACTCCAGCCTAGGCAATACAGCGAGACTTCGTCTCCAAAAAAAAAAAAAAAAAAAAGGCAGGGGGAGGGTTGGAGAAAAATCAAAAGAATAATATTCTGTAACTTATGGAAAATTATATGAAGTTGAAATTTCAGTAACCATAGTTTTATTGTAACATAAACGGGTTTGTTATAGGTCCATGGCTACAAAGCAGAGCTGAATAAATGTGAGAGATGATATCACCTGCAAAGCCTAAATTATTTACTATTTGGCCCTTTAAAGAAAAAGTTTGTGAAACCCTGATCTACACACATGCGTTTCAGTCAATACAGTCGGAATTATTTTCCCTAAATGCATATCATGCATATGAAACCAGATGTCTGAGTCTTTAGGGTCTAACTGGTAGACACGGTATCAAAGCAATGCTCAAAGACAACTTCAGGAGTGGTGTTCTGAATCAAATGTAGAACACAAGCCACTGAGGTGGTTAAGGGAGAGGCAGATTCTTGCCTCAGCGCAGATTTCTCCAGTGGCTCTCTTTTATCCAGTTATAAAGTCATTTGCTTGGCATTAAAGGCGCTTGAAGACCAGTGGCTACAATGAACTAGCCTTTTCTGCTCAGTATCATTAAATTACAGTACTTATTTTCCCGAACACCACGGTCTCTTCCGTCTGTGTGCTTTTGCAAATGCCCGGGCGTCCAACCTACATGCCTGCCCAGCAAACCTTCTCATCCTTCAAGTCTCTGCTCCTGAAACCTTCCTGGACTTCTCCAGTCTCTGGCAGTGCTTCAATGTTGCCACTGCACTCTGTACATACCTTCAATTATCTTGTACAGTGATCACTTATTTGCATGTCTTTTACCAACAGACTGTAAGTTCCCTGATGGGCAGGCATTTTCATCCTTAGATCCCCAGCAGAATTACCAAACGCAGAAGTAGACATCAAAGAAGTATTTCTTGAATGAATGAAATTTTAAAAATCATTAAATCTAAAAGTGAATTATGTTTGGCTCCTAAATTCTCTGCTTTGCCCAACTGTCAAGACCCCCCTACCCCTTTCACAAGCTGGGACACACTTCTGGCAGCTGTGTTCCCAGCAGGACTAGCAGGGGCAGAGGCACTGGGTTATTCTAATTGTCTCTTCGCTGATAAAACAAGGTGCTAGTTGGCCAGAGCCCTAAACTTAGACTTACATTAGCAAATCCTGACTGGCAACAGCGTGAAACCAGCAGGACAAGTTTTAAGAAGTTGCAAAGGTAAGACGTGAAGGACAACATGGGAGGAGGACCGGGCAGAAAGGGATTCAGGACGAGATCCATCTCACCCTCGGTGGAGGGAAAACCGAATGATTTCTATTGAGTTTCCCTAGTTTCTGTAATCTGCTTTCAAGAACTCAGAACTAAAAAGGAAACAAAAAACTAACACTTAAACCCCTCCTCCTTCCTACGGCTCTGGCATTTCCTCTGCGTAAGAGTTCGTTGGTCCAAACCCATCAGGCCTAAACCCTGTAATCCGACGCGATCCGTGGGCTTGATGACTCACCACTGGAAAGCGCGCCCTGCAATCCCTCACAGTTCAGACAGCTAAGTCAGAGATGAAAGCCAACGTGTGACTCACGGCACACTCCTCGTAACGCCCGGGCGCCGTCCATTCGCAACATCAACCCCTGCACATTAAATGCGGAAGCGCCCTTGAAGTTCATTCATTCATTCCATAAACTTGTGGTGGTTTTTGCCCGCTTTGATTACGGGCGGGAGAAGGGAAGAGGAGTTGACCAGACCCAAAAAGGGGCGACACACGCCGAGGAGGGACGCCATGCAGGCCGCGGGCGGACTCCCGGGCGGCGGGGACGCGCGGGGACCCGGCCGCGGGACGAGGGAGGCCGGCGGCCGGACACTACCTGGGGGCGAGCGAGTGAGGTTCTGGCCCTCCGAGTTGACCGCCTGCAGGTAGAAATAGCGGACCGGCAGGACGACGGCCGCCTGCAGCCCGGGCCCCCACACCAGGCTCCGCGGCGCGCTGACCAGCACCTCCGGGGCCCCCGCGGCCACCAGCAGGGCGAGGCGCAGCTGCAGCAGCAGGGCCGGAGGGAGACTGCGCATGGTCGGCCGGGCACAACTGTGGTCCAGCTTCGCGGCGGCTAGGAGGGGCCGGGAGGGCCGCGGGCCGGGCGGGGACTGGGGCCCACCGGAGGGGCGGGTCTTTCGGGCGGGAAAGATTGCGGCAGGCTCCCTTTCCCGCCCTCTATCCGGCCCCGGCTCCAATCACCCACTGCGCGCCCTGCAGGGGTCGGCGATGGGCGCGCCCCTTCCTCCCCGCAGCCCCATAGGCCGGGTGGAGGAAAGGGGTGGAGAGGCCCGCACAGAGACCGAGCTGCGAGTGTGCGCTGTTGATTGCCAAGGCCTGGGGCACGCCTGGCCTCGACCTCCAGTGGTCTTTCTCCTTCTTTTTCTTCCTTCTTTTCCTTCTCTTTTCTTCCTTTGTTTTTATACAGACAAGCGGGCTGGCTCTGTCTGCCAGGCTGGAGTGCAGTGGCGCGATCACAGCTCACTGCAGCCTGGGACTTCTGGGCTCAAGAGATTCTCCCGCCTCAGCCTCCTGGGTAGCTGGGACCAACTATAGGCACACGACACCACGCTGGCTAGTTTAATTTATTATTATTATTATTATTATTATTATTACTATTATGTGTAGAGACAGGGGTCTCACTATGTTGCCCAGGTGGTCTTGAACTCCTGGTTTCAAGCAATCCGCCCGCCTCGGTCGCCCAAAGTACCGGGATTACAGGTCTGAGCCACCGGGTCCGCCGCTCTGGTGTTTTTAAAGGACCCGGTGGTGATTGTTGTGGGACGATGAAAGGGTCCCGCCCCGAGATCGATGTAGTTTAGGGAAATGCCTTTTCCCAAGGAATGAGTTTACAAGATGAGGGCCAAGGTCAGGTCCCCCCCGCTCCGCCCTCCCTCACAGCCCTCTGTTCACAGCAGCACCGTTCTCTTGTGGCCTGTTTTGTTGCTTTTCTGCTCAGCAGCCTTCCTCACAGAACTGTGATCCCCACCACTCCTCCCTTTCCCCGCTTCCTCCCGCACTCCCCTTCTTCCAGCAGGTGTTTACATAACATCCACGGAGTTTGGGCCAAGCCCAGAGTGAGGAGCTGGCCATTGGCGTGGCAGAAGACCAGACCTTGCCTTGAGCCTGTGTGTGAGCTTTACCTGAAAGCCAGAAACCTCCTGTTCCTCTGTGATCCATGTGGGAGAAGGGGTGGTGGTCTCAGCCACCTCCACCACTGCTCGGAAGATGAACGCTAGATCCAGGAAGAGATTGTCAAGGCCACCGTCTGCCTCTCTTTTTTGATCATTTGATCCAATTTGTTAACGATTTTTCCTCCTTTTTGTCCTCTTATGGTCTGAATCTATTTAAAGACAATAAAGATTTTCCTCTGGCTGAATGAGCCAGAAGGAACTCACACCCCAGAATGGACACAGGGTTTCTGCACCCTCTTGGGGGTCCTTAATCCCCAAAACATCAGAACCAGCCACCAGACAAGCCTTTGTCCACCTCACAGCTTTAATTGTGCTACTCAGCATTCTTGCTATGACCAAGTTTTACCAGGGCAAAATCTTTCCCACATTTTCACAGTTCTCTTGACCTATTTTAGTAATGCTCAGGAGTGGTTGTGGATGGTGTTCTTTGTACTTTGGAAAGATTTTCAGGAACTGGTAGTCAGTTGCTGGTAAATTTTAGGGCTAAAGTGTAACAACACTCAGTATTACTTTCATTGATAAATTTTATTTTGTGGGGGTGTCTGCTTGCTTTAAATAGCTTTGCTCTGTTCCAGCTATCACTTAAAAAAATTGTATGGAACACATTTTGCTCACACTCTTTCAAAATCTGACTTAAAACAGTTTCCAGAGAAATAATCTGAGGTTTGCTGGTACTGGATGATAGTAAAACATGGCCTAATAAATTACATAACACTTGCGTTAACACCCATTTTTTTTTTTTTTTTTTTTTTTTTTGAGAACACGTCAGGGAAACCATATAATTGTACCTGAACACACTCGTGTTTAGCAATACTAAGCCTGCACCAACCTGTTTTCTTTCTCATCTTAACCTGTCTCCAAAGAGTATATCTCTTCAGAGCAACCAGTGCCTTGACCAGACTCTTTATCATTCATCAAATTTCATTCATTCAACACATATTTATTAAATGCCTACCGTATTTTAGATATTGTATTTTGACTTCAAAGTGCCTGTCGTTTAGTGGAGAAGAAAGGCAAAGAGGCAATGTAAATAGCCTATAGGTGTTAAAATATGGGCCTCAAGAACCCCATGGTCTAGGATTTTATCCCACTTAAAAACTAACAAGTTGGCCTGTTACTGTTTCATGGATGCTGTCAAAAGAGACAACACTCCTGTATCAAAGAACTTTATTATTCACTGCAAAAGCAGTAGCCAGAGCTTTATGTTGGTTTGCGTTTTGTTCCTAAGCCTCCCAAGCCTTGTGGGGACAATGCACACAGACTGTGATGGATGCCTGAAGTAGGTTGCATGACAGGACAGGAGCACTGAGCTAAAGGAATTTGCCTCTTTTAGGGTACACGGAATTAAGCCTGCTCTTTGTGGGTGGGGAGATGTTATCTCATCCCTCAAAGTTGCTTGCTACAAACACTGCCCAGAGAAATGGCCTGATAAAGAGCTGGACATTAGAGTGGCAGACCAGCAAGAATAACCAGAGAAGTTCAAGGTCCATGCAGAAAGCCTGGCATACCAAGCAAGAATGATCAGAGAAGTTCAAGTGCCATGGCAGACAGCCTTTTCCAATGTAGTACAGTGTACTTATACACTACATATGAAGGCCAGCTAACCTAGTCTTGGAAAAACCAAGAGAGGCTTCTGAAAGAGATGACATCTATGCCGAACCTTGAAGGTCAAATAGGAATCAGTCACATAAAGAGAAGGAGGAGAGCATTCTGGATAGGAGGAACATCATGTATAAAACTTTGAAGTAAATGATACACTCCGAGAAGTTTTTCATTCCCTTTCACATTCATCTCCATATTGAACTCCAAACTCAAACACATAGAATTACAGTCAGTGTGTGACTCTGGAAGGTCTAGATTCAATACACTTCTGTGAATTGCACTGGCCCCTGGAATCTTTACATTAATGTCACATAAAATTCATAGCTAATTATTGTCGTCTCAGTTTATAACATTTCCACCTTTTCTGGTAACTCCTCTTTTTTTACTCCACAGTCTACCTGGTTAACAGTGAGGCTTTGTAGCAGCATAACTTTAACTATGGCTACTGTTCATTGGTTCCTAGTTTGGAAACTGACTCATGCTGAACTAATCCCCTTTCCCTGAGAGTTTAAAATCAAGGTTAGGAGATTTTTGACATACTGACTGCTCTCCAACAGAAGCATTATAACCCTTGCTATTTTTTTCCCTCGTATTCTGAAAACAGAAGAGAAATACAGAAAACTCTCTGGATTATGTGTGGTGCACTAGAGTCTGGTACAGTTCATGAGCAGCCTCTCTATTTCTGGTTTCTGAGACATCCTTGCATCTTTATAATAAATTCCTCTTTAACTTTAGAAATTGTGTAATTTTCTTTCTTTAATTTTTATTTATTCATTTATTTTATTTTGACAGACTGTCGCTCTGTCACCCAGGCTGGAGTGCAATGGTGTGATCTCGGCTCATTGAACTTCTGTCTCCCAGGTTCAAGTGATTCTCCTGCCTCAGCCTCCTGAGTAGCTGGGCCTACAGGTGCAAGCCACCAAGCCTGGCTAATTTTTGTGGAAATTGTCTAATTTTCAATGTCACTAATGAATAAAAAAACTTACATAGGGTTAGACAAGATTAGATCCCATAAAATGCACAAAACTTTAATAATATCAAAAATATTTATTCAACACACACTTTATATCATGACTTTATGTCATGCATTATGCAAGGTGCTAGGGATATAAACTCAGTCCCTGCCCTTCCAGGTATTACAGTCTATAGGGTACATTTTAGACGGTGAGACAATTGGTTTAAATATTAACTTCCATCCAGAACCAATTTCTTTCAAAACATTCCACCTTGAAACAATCAATTGTGCCCAGATTTTTAGGGTTGAATAAGAACATTGATTCTTCCACAGTCAACATATGGCCTGAAGGGAGGGGATGTCAGTTTCCAGAGCAAAGAAAAAGGATCTACTAGGCAATCATATCAGTACCTACCACATCTCTCCAAAACATTTCTAGAATGGAATTGTAATTCCCAGACTGGAAAGATGACATAATCTAGAAAGGATGATTTGGGAAAAGAACATGGGCCTAGAGGGAAACTTAGTACTAGCATTTGTATTATTAAAACACAATGTTTTGTAGAATCAAGTATGATCATCAATTTTTTTTTTTTTTTTTTTTTTTTTTTTTTTTGAGACAGAGTCTCACTCTGTCACCCAGGCTAGAGTGCAGTGGCACAATCTCAGCTCACTGCAACCTCTGCCTCCTGGGTTTAACGCCTCCCGAGTTCAAGCAATTCTCCTGCCTCAGCCTCCCGAGTAGCTGGGACTATAGGCGTGCACCATGATGCCACGTAATTTTTTATTTTTAGTAGAGATGGGTTTTCACCATGTTGGTTAGGCTGGTCTCGAACTCCTGACCTCAAGTGATCCACCTGCCTTGGGCTCCCAAAATGCTGGGATTATGGGCATGAGCCTCTGCGCCTGGCCGATGATCAATTTTTTAAGAAAGAAAAGTAATTTATTAAATACTCTCCTGTACAGAAATCCTTTAAAAACTTATGTTTAGTTTTTAATCTGTATACCCCCGATAAATCATTGCACTTAAGTACATGAATAAAAACTATTCTCATTTATTTATATATTTCTATATATATTCATATATGTGTGTATATTTACAGTTTCTTCTTTAGAGGAAAGAAACTTCTCTCTCTTTTCTCCTGTTCTTGAACGTCCTCTCCCCCAACACCTGTCTACAAAACAACCGACGTTAATAACCAGTGTGCCCCTCCATGTGTACGCATGCATATGCAGGTTTCTTGGTGAATGCTTTACAAAAATGGAATTTTACTTTTCTCCCTCAACAGTACCTCATGGAAATTCTTCTAAGTCAACTTAGTGACATTGAAAATTAGACAGTTTCTAAAGCGAAAGAGGAATTTTCAATGGTTTTACAATATTACATATGTAAGTGTTCTATAATATGTTCAGTCATTTCTCAATCAGGTATTAACTTTGTTTCCAGGTTTTACCACAACAAACATTGTAGCAATAAAAATCCTACATGCAAGTCTATACATACTAGTGTTTTTATTTCTATAGGAGCAATTTCTGGACCAAATGAAGGTGGTGATTCAGGACATTGGCCCACTCGATGTCCTGATTCGGCATCTTCCTGGTCATAACAGAGACAGCAG